AAAGATTGTTTATACAATAATTTTGGTCTAATTATTTTTTAATTAAACTTAAACTTTGATTGACGCCCACCTTTTTTTCTATTCCCCTGATTATTTTGAACATTTTCCTTGATATATAATTTATTATAGTACAGGGTGCGGCAAATTAGCGGCCGCTTTTATTTTAGCTATAACTTTCTTCATTTTTAATGAAAACCGATAATTCTTTTTTTCCTAGATTCCCGACATTTTAGCAAAATTGTTGATACCAAATAGTAAAAATTTGGTTCACAGATTGCAAAGATAAACGGGTTCGAAATCTAGAAAATTAAAAAAAATTTTTCATGACAAAGTTTAGTTGATCATAACTTCGTTCAAAATAATTCAATCCGAGTGATTTTGGTACCGATCAACTCCTCTCGCTCAGGACCAAGATCATATCTTGGTCCATTTACGTGATAGACATCTGATTTTGACGTCATTTGAATCATAATGGAGAGCTGATTCGAATGATATATAAAATTCTCACATTAAAATAATAGCCTTGAATCCAGGCCAAATTTTATCCAAAAATTTTTGCTCGAAATTTAATAGAAAATTAATCAGACTTAATTATAAGATTTAAAGGAGATTTTGGTATCAACAATTTTGCTAAAGTATCAGGAATCCAGTAAAAAAAGAATTATCAATTTTCGTTTAAAATTAAAAAAGTTATAGCCAAAACAAAAGCGGCCACTAATTTGCCGCACCCTGTATATCAATCGAAAGAACTCTCCGGGCTGGGTCGAATAATAAAAGATCACTTTTTTCTAATGATGTACATATAATTTGCCATAAAAAGAGAAAAAGTTAGTAAAAATAAATAGGAAAGTGGGGCGCCAGCCAAAGTAACATTAAAATTCTAAATGTCCATTTATGAATAGAAAATTTCAAAAATTATATAAACAAATATATAACACTTTAATCTATCTAAAAACATTTAATTTATAATTTTTTGTTCTAATTTCAATTTTTTTGATTTTTTATATAAATATTACACCTGGGGCCTATATCAATTGTCCGCAGATTCTGCGGTCTGTGCCAGAGGTGGGTCGGAACATTCAAAGGTGTCGGAAATCGTGAAAGCCGGAAATTGGAACTGGCTCAAAAGTCGGAAATCGGAAATAATTTTTTTATTTTCAAAACTTAATATTTAAAATAGTTAGCGGTTAATTATGGTACCTATTTGAGTGTAATTTAAGCGAATAAAAATTCTTTTTGCAACTTCCACAGACAGCAGAATCTGCGAACAATTGATATAGGCCCCTGATAGCCGATGAGAGTTAAAATTTAGCTCCCAACTCTACCGTATACCTTTTCCTTTTTCTCTCTTTATTTTTTCGGCGCAAGGTGTCAATTCCATCCTTACAGTTATATGTTTTATTCCAAACTTGTTTTGTAGGAGTAGAGCCACGGGGTTCGGGTCTGGGTTTTTGCCAAAAAAATAGTCGGAAGACGGGAGAAGAAGAACTCTATTATAAATTCATTGATTTATAAATTTCCAAAATTTATCTAACAATTATTTGTTGCCAAAATTTCTAGTTTTGAATGACTACCTGATAATTCTTAATTTTTGAAATCGAACTTGTTATCTTTTTTAAGAATGCTGTAAATACTAATTTTGATCTGAAAGTATCTTTTTCTTTTCTTTTTTCTCATTCATTATAATATGTTAATGTTTTGGATACTATCGGTTATTAACCTGTACCCCTATTTTTCTGTTATTGCAGGTTTTTGACACTACTTTCGGTTACAGATTTTGTTTATTCCCCAATTTTGACTGAGCGAAGTGATTTTAATTGACCGGGAGAGTCCCTTCATATTTTATTTTATTAAACATTTTCGAAAAAATAATGGTAATAGTTTGTTTTATTCACCCTTTTTCCCTGAATCGCTTTGCGGTATCTGTTCTTTTTTATGCCAAATTATACAATACTATTGTTGTATGCAAAAAATCAACGAAATCTGACTTAAATCAACACTAGTACCGAAATAATTCTATACAATAACCTGTTTGGTTAACAGTTTTTTTTTACCCGCCTAGTATGTACCAGGGATCGCGCCGACCATAGAATTCAAAATTTTTGTGAATTCACAGAAGTCGATGTCAAAATCGTCACTTCGTCTAAAACAAACAAAATTCACAGAATTCCCGGAAATTTTTGGCTTGTGAATTCACATACAAGGAAATCCGAGATTTAAAATTTTCAGAATTCACGATTTCAGAAAATTGTGGATTTGGTTTTCTGTCTGCGTGATCCAAAGTATGTACATTAATCTTTTTTTTATTTAAAACCAGAAATTTTTGTATCTTAAAGGATGTAAAGGTAATTAAATTTCAAATTAAGCCTTCAGGAAATTGTCGGATAGTTTTGTTATTTTAAATTTCTTTTTTAATTAATCTATAATTCTTTTTGACTATTTATTTTTTGAGTCTATACAAAACAATTTTAATAATTTTCATTTCCGTTCCGCCTCTCTTGCAAAGTTTAATTGAATTTCATAAAAGTATGCTTAAAACTGAGGATTTTTATCAAGACGTAATATTTCTATTGATAATCATTATAGTAATCTTGCAGTTTATGACCCACTGATTTGTAGATTTCATTTTTATTGCGTTTCAACTTTTCTATCTATTATCACAATGTCCATTAAATTCAATATTCATATTTACAAACTAAAATTACATATTGTTTTTGAGTTGGGTCACCCAGAATATAGACACCCAGAATTCATCACCCTAAGTTGAATGATACAAAGTATCAAATCGCTCTTATATCGTACCGTAAGTATCGAAAACCATAAGGTGGGTCGGGATAGTCCGAGGTGTCGGAAATCGGAAGAGCCGAAAATCGGAACTGGCTCAAAAGTCGGAACTCGGAAATCGGAAATCAAAATTTTTTTCAGAAATCGGAATTCCTATCCACCTCTGTTCGGTCTTCATTAATATCCGCCCCACCCCTATTTGACAACACGGTGGTTCTTGACACGGGATTTCTTAATTGATCACTGAGGTGATCAATATCACTCTTGTTTGTCACTCTCTTTCTCACCCTCCCGATTGATCACTCATTCGATTTACGACTTCGAAATTTTGAAAAATATTTAGGATTTAGGTATTTTTGAACTTTTTCTGATTTTCTATACCAGATACTTTGGGTCATTCGAGGGTGTGGTACTCTGTTTGTCGATACTCTAGGGTCGGCTCTTTTTGATTTATTCTAAAATATTATAGTTCATTCTGTACGAGCACGCACGTCTACTATTTGGAAGGGACGAACTGGAGCGAATTTGAGGAAAAAATAAAAAAGGGAGATTGGGAATGAATTTTTGGCAAAATAAATATAATAATTTTTTAAATTTTTTCATAATTGTTATATTCGTATTAATATTTTTAATATTGAGGATTTATTCTAATAATTTTTATTGCTCAGGGGCCTATTTCAATTGTCCACAGATTCTGCATTCTGTGCACAGAACACAGATTCTGTGGAAATTCTGTTTCAATTAAATTCTGTGTGCACAGAATCTGTGGTGCCCGCAGATTCTGCGGAAACATCCAATGATTCTGTGGAAACATTCCGCAGATTCTGTGGATGAAAATTTCTGTGGAAAATATAAAAATCTGTGGATTTTTTCCACTGATCCACAGAATTTGTATTTCAATTATTTTTCTGTGGTTCTGTGTATTTTTTCTTCTAAATTCAAATTTTTTATTTCCGCGTTTTTGAAAATAACAGTTTTATTGAAACGAAAAATGGTTTGGACAGTTCGGTACTACCGCAGTATTAATGGTACCTGATTTTTTGAAGTAAAACTTTAAAAATTCTTAAATTAAACTGAAAAATATTGTAAAGATTTAAAAATTTTCCCTCCAAATCACATAACATCCCTTTAAATCTCTTTGATATCACTTTAAAACCGCTGATATACCGCTTAATTTTCTTGTTCATCCAATATCCTTAAATCTCCAATTAAATTAATGTCCTAAAGCAGGGTTCGGATCGGAAAAATCAGGAGATGTCGATCCGACATGTGGCTTTTTCAAACTACGATAGAAGTTGTTGCAAGGGAGGGAAATGTTTGGGGATTGTTTAGTCAGAAATTGAGGTTCCTGGAAATCGAAAATGCCTGGAATCCAAAATTATAGTCAAATCGGAACTTTAAAATCGTAGAGGAGTGATTAAGTGGGATATCCATTGATTTTGAGGTTTAATATATTGGAGTGATTAAGGAGGAAATCTATCATTAAATAGGAGGAGAGATTATGACGGATATCAATGAGAGATCATGGGAGATATCCCAGTATACGCTATACAGATATATTCTATAGATCCTGGTAAACATCCCCTCATTAGAGATATCCATGATGATTAGAACATCATAGCTCTAAATTTCAGAATCTCTCACGTTTTTTATTTTTTTATTGCTTGAATATAACAAAAACTGCGTAAAAAAGATGTACCTTTTTCAAAATTAATTTTAAGCAATAATTTTAGGTAATAAAATTATAATTTTTATATCAAAAAATAGAGAATGATTCAAACTTTAATAATCTTTAAAAATTTTGAAATTTGGTTAAGCCTAGGCCTAGAAAAAAATTGTTAAAGTTTTTCCACAGAAAGTTCGCAGAAAAAATTTTAGGGTGGATTTTTTAAAGAATTCTGTGTATTTTCCGCAGACCACAGAAATAATTGAAACAGAAATGCACAGAATCGACTAAAAAAGCCACAGATCTGTGGATTTTTTTCTGTGCACAGAAAAATAATTGAAATAGAATTCTGTGGTTTTTGCATGTTTTTGGATGTTTTGCAGAATCTGTGGATGTTTCCACAGATTCTGTGCATGTTTCCACAGAATCTGCGGACTTCTTTTTCCGCAGAATCTGTGGAATAATTGAAACAGAATTTCTGTGGTTCTGTGGTCTGTGCACAGAACGCAGACCGCAGAATCTGTGGACAATTGAAATAGGGCCCAGGTCAGGATTAGTTCCTGGTTTTTTTGTAAGAGGAATACACTACAATAATAACAACACATTTGATTGGGAATTTTTATCAGCTATTTCAGTAAATTTTCGATTTAACTCTTCAAATTACTTAAATTTTGATTAAGATGCGGAGACCTGTTCTTCCTAATAATGAGAACGTAGGCGCTGTATTACAGCCTGTTGAGAATCAAGGACGACATAGACCTGATGCACCGACGAAAATATTGTCTGATACTGTGAATCAGCTTCGACAGGATTTAACGTTTTCTCGGGCACAATACAATGAGCTTTTCCAACTTCATCAGCAACATATGGCTGAGTCACGTGAACAGTCAGCTGCTAACAGAGAAGCATTGCGTGCTGCACTTGCTGATGCTGCAGAGAACAGAGAAGCATTGCGTGCTGCACTTGCTGATGCTGCAGAGAACAGAGAAGCATTGCGTGCTTCACGAGAAGCACTGCATGCGGCTCAAAATCAAATCGAACAATTACAAAATCTTTTACGACAAAACAATAGTACTTTTTGTATTAGAAATTAAGAAATAAAAAAGGAAATACTCATAAAAATTTTTTAAATAAAATTTTAAATATCAAAACTTGATAATAAATTAACAAGACTTTTCCTGAGGTTAATTATTCTCAAATTTTTAGTTTTGCCACCGAATAACTTGAATAATGGTATTTTGCATCATGGTGACCCAAATAATCTCGATGTTTATCTGGGTAATTTTTATTTTGAAATACCATATAATATTTTTGTATTAATGCCCTTTATTCTTGACACAATCGACTATAAATTTTTTAATTGTTTTTAAATTCAGGAAACGATGGAGTTCGTGGCGATGTTAATTATAATGAATTCGTTGTTCAGCAACCGAATAATCGAAATCAACGTCGGAATCTGAATCAAATTCAGAATGAGAATATGCTTCCAGGTCTCAGAAGATTTTGGTCTTAGTATTAACTAGAGGTCGGTAAAATCACATGTGCAGGATCCTGTAACAGGATTGGGTTTTAAAATTTATACCAAGGCAGGATCCCTCAGGATTAATCCTGAAAATCCTGAAAACTCAAAAAATCAGGATTTCGGACAGCATCTTGAAAAATCCTGCGCAGGATCCTGTCCATCGCCGACCTCTAGTATTAACTAAGATCTAATTAAAATATAATTATTCTTTTTTATCTCAATTATTGCATTTTAGGCTTTCAAAATATAGGGCAATTGCCAAATATGCCACATAATAATGGTATAATTATCTAAAATTAAAAAAAAGTAAATATCAAAAGTTTTTCTTAATTTTAAATTTTTTGAATTTTTTGTTAAAAATGAGTTAAATAGACATTACGATTTAGCTTATTCTAAGGTTTATTAGTATTCTTAACTAATTTTCTCACTGCCATTTCTTACATTAATTTTTTACGTTCAGTTAACCAGGTTGGCGAAGCCCGTAATAATAATGATTTTCTGCGTGGTGGGCAGCAACAGAATAATCCAAATAACGCCAACAGGCCTATGTATAATGGACAGTATGGGAATCAGCGTGCTGGAAACTTCCCTAATCAAAATGGGTAGATAATTTAAAGAAAACTAATGTTTTGCTTTTTTAATTAATTTTTTATCTTTAATTTTATACTTTCTTATTCAAAAACTTGAAATAAAAATATTTAAACTAAACAAAAGAACATGCATCTTGTAAACTAAATTTTTTTGCCAGCAGGAAAGGTATAATGCTAAATATTAGGAGTTGGCTTTAGGGTCATTTGGCCATTAGGGTGTTGACTTTCTGGGAGTTGACATCTGGGTTGATCCCCGCATTAATACCTGCTTGATATTTTCCTTTCTTTCATGAGCTCTTTTCCAAAAAAAATTTATGAGAATAAGGGAACCTATTACAAACAAAAGTTAAAGAAAAATAAAGGGAACTTATTTACTTTAACTACCCACCCCATTTATTCGCAAGAAGGCCATTAATCAAACTTAATTTGTTCAGAAAGGTCAGCCTTTCTTTCTTCCCCAATGTTACTCAATTTTCCCTGTGGCATGTGCAATGAGAAAAATTAATACAGAAAAGATTAATTTTTCTTTCCAATTTCACCAAAATAGAATTTAACTCCGACTTGATTGGACCGAAATACAGACCACTGGAAAGCCGGAGAAGTTGAAACAGCCGGCGAAGTTGAAACTCATGTAAAAAAGACAAGAATAAAAGAGAAAATGGTACCAAAAAGTACATGTTCCTGACTAACCATGTGGTAATAACTGAAATGGCAAACATTAAAATGTTGATTCAAATGTTAAATTCTATTTTGGTGAAATTGGAAAGAAAAATTAATCTTTTCTGTATTAATTTTTCTCATTGCACATGCCACAGGGAAAATTGAGTAACATTGAGGAAGAAAGAAAGGCTGACCTTTCTGAACAAATTAAGTTTGATTGATGGCCTTCTTGCGAATAAATGGGGTGGGTAGTTAAAGTAAATAAGTTCCAAATAAAGACCCCTTACATTAAGTGCCAATTCGTAATTCAAAACTAAAATTCTTATTTCAAGTTTCATTTTTTAATTTTATTTGCTATCACAAGTTTATTTTGAAGTTATGCGATAATAAAGATTTTATAAATTTTTGTTTCTTTTACCTATGTATTTTTTCTTTACTAATTTGAAATTCTTAGTATCATATCTGATTTTGTTCTATATTCAAATATCGTTTTACCGTATTTTCTTGATTAATTCCCCTTGCCAATGAAAAAAAGCACGTTCAAATTATAAAACTCAAATATATGTAGGTAGTAGGGTTTCGCCGGAACCGAAATTTTGACCGGAACCGGAACCAAAAAAAAACACCGGAACTTTCCGGAACCGGAACCGGAACTTCCGGCGAAACCCTAGTAGGTAGGTTAATTTAATTAACTATCCAGGAGTGTGCGCCAAAATTTACGCGTGGCGCGCCAAACGCCAATTTTTCAAATTCTTAAAACACGGCAAACGCCAGAACGCCATGGCGCACAGCCCTGTTCCTATCCGCTGTTGTTTAAATATTAATTCCAAGGGGAAATAATAAAAAAACGGTAACTCGATTAATCTTACTAATTATGATTTTTTACTTTGTCACTATAGAGTGTAAATAAGGTAGGTTAATTGTATCGTAAATAATATTTATAACTTATTTTTAATATTTCTAAACTTTTACAAATTATTGTTTTTTGCTATTGTGACAACCAGATTATTTAGTCTCTTGAAGCTATTACACAAGTCTATTTCCGATTTTCTTTTGTTTTTTGTTTTATCTATCTTTTAGTCATTTATTTTCATCTGCTCTACTCAATTAATATTAGGTACGGAAATAATTAGTTTTTTTGCAAATATTCTTAATTCTGATTAAATAACATTTCTTAGAGTGTTTTCTAATAAATACCAGAATTTGAGACTCCGCCTTAGTAGCTTTTGAATAACTTGAATGATATATTACAGTCAATATTATCATTACATATTATCATAAAATTTTGAACCCGAAGGTTTTGAACCCTTTGATGTTTGATTACCATAACTCCCAAAATAAACGAAACTTCTTTTGTGATCTATTAGGAAACATCTAAAGAAATATACTTAATAAGATTTCAAAACCATACGCAAGTTTGAAAAAAGGCTCAAAAATTATGTCCACACCGAATAACTTTTTAAAATAAGTGAACCGCAAATAAATACATAGATATTTGCTCTACTATCTACATATAAAGAAAGGAGAATAATTTTTAAAATAAAAATTAGTGTTAATTTTTAACTTGTAATGTGTAAATCAGGGTATTTATTTTGGAAGTACTTTAAAAAATTAAATTTAACCTTAAAATTCTTAAAATTCTCGCCTGTAGGCTGAAATCGTTATTGAAAGATTATTATCTCATTCATAGTTGAGCGAAAATAAATTTTTAAAATGTAGCTTAGTCAATTCATTTTGCAAATTTTTGCCTCAGTACTTCCAAATTAAGGGTTTTTAAATTTTTAACATTTTCTCGATCGGACCCAGATATACATACATTTCTTTGGTTTACTATACTAAATTATGAATGTTTTGATATAATCCACTTTATTTTCTCCATTTTTTAAATCAAGTTGTATCGTTGTCTATGTTTACTACATATCACAATTAACTTGTTTAATTTCATTATCTTCATTTCTTGAGCACAAAATTATGCATATTATTTTATTTTAGACATGTATATTGAATATATTTTTATTTTTAAGGTGGAAACATAAGGGCATTTTGATTGCCAAAAATCCTCCCAATGTGAAAGACGAGAATTTCTGATCTTTAGAAAAATTAAATTGAAGAGGAATTATTTTGCAGAAAACTTTAAAAACTCCAAAATAATTGAATTAAATTGTAAATAAATATTGTTTGACATTTAAAGTAAAACAATTTTTGTATTTTTGATTATAAAAATTGATAAAAAATGGCATTCGAGTTTTGTTTGCTCTTAAAACAATAGAATTTTTACAAAAAAATTTGATAATAAATAATTCAATTTATATGTAAAGATTTTTTATCGTATCATAAAAAATTAAATTTATTTAATATGGAAATTTTTTGAATTAGTAAAAAGAGTATGAATGAAGTAATCTATTTCCAAACCTAATTCTATATTTTGGTTAGCCAATACTTCCAGCTCCACACTTGTGGATCGCATTTCGGAGAAGCACTTGCGGACTTTATGACGGAATTAAATTTTTAATGGAATCCAAAATTAAAAGTTCGGGAGCCAAAAACAAAATTTACTAATATTAACCTGAATCGTTATCAAGTGCAAAATCAGAACGGACGTCATCTTGGACATCATGATGTTAATCAAGCTGGACAGCCAATGAATAATAATCCAATTCCTAATTTGAATCCGAATCAAAATCTAAATGACAATCATCCAGGAAATCATTTAATTGGCAATGATTTGTTCATTGGTATAGAGCTTTTTAAATTAATGATTATTAATTTTTTTACAATTTTTTGTTCGATCTAAATATTTTTATAACGATTATAACATTCTTAATTTTTAATTTATTCTTTGGAAAACTTGAAATAAAACTATTAAATTAAATTAAAAATACGTATACTTATTAGGATCCTTTATTATTTTGAGATTTAAATTATTTGACTATTACTAATTATGTGATAATGAAAGCATTACACCCATGATTTTGGTTAATTATCCTTTTAAAATTGTTTTTTTAATCTCAATAGTACTTGAAGTCAAAATTTACTTTACTAACGTTAATTAAATATTTCTTTCTCCCAATTGCCAATATTAATAATATTAATATGATTACAATATTGTAGACCTTTTTACCTAAATTTAAAACAATGTACCTATTTAAATATCAATTATTCTCATTCCTTGTATTAGTATATCTGCCTGACCTCCTGTGCTCTTATGTATTTAGTAGTGATGGTCGGGATTCCCGGTCTCGGTTCCCGAGTCGGGAAATTTCCCGGGTTTTTTGAGCTCTCGGTCTCGGTCTCGCTGTTTTAGTCTCGGAAAACGAGACTAAATTTACACCCCTAATGACGGAAATTTTTTGAACTTTTTGAAGGAAAAGGGAAAGTAATATTTATAAATTCTCCCATATGTCTTTTGATGGTCGATGGTTAAGTGGTTAAGTTGACTGACTTCACTCACTTGAATACTTTGGAAGTGCTCGGTTCGGATCCTAAGGTGGAAATGCGGTTGTAAAAATTTTTCTTTTCGAAAATAAATGTTTTTAAACTTTGATTTTGATTTTAAAATTTTAAATTTATTTTTTCATAATATTTTAAACTTGAAAAAACATTAAAAATTTTAATATATATAGTAGTGATGTTCGGGTATCCCGACTCCCGACACCCGACTCGGGAAATTTCCCGAGTTTTTGGCCTCCCGATCCCGACCCCGACTCCCGATGTCAATTCCCGACTAAGTCGGGAAATTTTTACACCCCTAAGAATGGCTTTTTTGATAAATTTTATTTATGATTAAAAATTTTCATTTTCTTTTTCCGCGCCAAAACGTCCATATGGATAATTAAAATCATTAAAATTCTTTTTCTTTAAGATTATTTAAATTTTATTTCTGATTAAAATTTGAAAAAATTATGGAGGAAGAATTTGAAGAATCTAGTAATTCTATAATTGCTGATGATGAAATAGGTTTGATTGATACATACTATGTAAATAATTTAAATCAATTTTAAGTTGAGAAAGGAACATGTGATTCAGGGAAGTATCTTGATATAACTGAGCCTGCAAGTTCTTTATTGCGATACTTTGAATATCTGCAAGGAGACAAAATTGCAAAATGCAGAGTTTGTAAGAAAAAGATAAGTCGAAAATATGGGAATACATCTGGAATGAAAAGACATTTAATGATCCATCGGAGGTATATTTTTAAATATTTCTGAATTTTCTTTCTCTAAGATTATACAAAGAATTTTTGTCGTCTAAAAGCGTTCAAAATGTTAATAAATTGAAAGAAGAAAGGCCTATGTCTTCTCAATCTTCTGCACAATCAACAATTTCTAATTTCATTGAACAAAAACATCAGGTTTA